CAGCTTCTCTGCCTGCTTCCTTCAGATGTTCATTATGAACAACTTCCTGCCAATGGAATCCTGCACATTCCTAGCCATGGCCCATGACCGCTATGTGGCCATCTGTAAGCCTCTGCACTACCCATCCATAATCACTGACCAATTTGTGGCAAAAGCCATTGTCTTCATCTTGATCCGAAATACATTTCTCACTGCACCAATCCCTATCCTCTCTGCCTGGCTCCATTATTGTGGAAAAAATATCATTGAGAACTGTATCTGTGCCAACCTCTCTGTGTCCAAGCTCTCCTGTGATAAAGTTGCCCTTAATAAAATCTACCAGTTAATTGTGGCCTGGACTCTCCTGGGCTCTGACCTCATCCTCATCTTTCTCTCCTACACATTCATCCTTCGAGCTGTTCTTAGACTCAAGGCAAAAGGGGCAGCTGGCAAAGCTCTGAGCACTTGTGGCTCTCATTTTATTCTCATCCTCTTCTTCAGCACCATCCTGCTGGTTTTTGTTTTTACCCACATGGCCAAGAAAAAGGTTTCCCCTGATATCCCTGTCTTACTTAATATCCTACACCACGTAATTCCTGCAGCTCTCAACCCCATTGTCTATGGCGTACGCACCCAGGAGATTAAACAGGGGATTTGGAAATTATTAAGGAGAAGTTGGTGACAGAAGAGAGTAATTGTGTTCTTGCTTTGCTTTTTGCAATAAAGAATACTCACAATCACCATCGGAAGGCAGGGATTGAAAGAAAGGCAAATCCTAATCTCTCTGGACACGCCTAATGATACGAACTGTATTGTTTCCCTCATATGCAGGATTACATCTTATTTATCATTATTTTATGGTATCTTGGCAGAAACTAAGGATATAGTTGTGTAATTGCTCACCATGCTACTCAGACCAGGGGCTATGGATTTTGATGAGTCAAGCATCGAAACTAATTGCCTGATCCTGATGAAATCTCCAGTAGATCCAGTGGAGATGGAAATTCAATACTAATTAAAGATGTGTAGTTGGTGGGAAGTATCAGTACTTAAAGATAGTACATGGGCTTTGGAAGGGTAAATATAAGATTAAAAAACAACTGTTAAAATGTTTAAAATAACCATTATGCTTTCACATTTTTTTTTGAACATTTAAAAATATTTATTGAAAGTTATTTTATG